CCCGACCCCTCCCGCCCCTCGCAGGGCCCGGGCAGAGGGCTCGCCTGCCTCCCTTTTCCCTTGCACGCCCACACACACGGGCACGCTGCACACCCTGCAGCCCCTGTGCACCCCTCTTTTGCTGGCAGCTGCCCCCCGAGCGCAGCCAGGCTCCGGGGGCTCTTGGTTTGTCTCAGCCCATCCGTCTGGCTCTCTTCTTCCCCAACGCCTCCTCCCTCCTCCAGCCCCACAGCCTGTTTGTCACCCTTGGCTTGTTACAGGGGTGGGTACAGAGGTGCCACCCCGGCACGGCCCCCAGCAGGGGTACAGACCGCAGCAGAAAGCTTTGCTCTGCAAGGGATGGAGTTGCTCTAACGCTACCGTCCTCGTCAGTCCTGTCCCTGTGCAAAGCCCCTGCGATCACGCAGGAGGGATGGTTACCTGGCTAGCTCTGCTCCCAGCACCAGGAGGAGAAAGGTTCAAGGGACCTAAGAGCTCATGAACCCAGAGCACAGAGGCTCTGCATGTAAATGGGAGGAAGCCCCCCTCTCTGGGAGTTTATTTCCACTGATTTTTCTGGAGGAAAGGCAGGCTGTGACCTCAATAGTGTCCCAGGACATTCAAAGAGGAGTGGGTCGGAGCTGGGAAATGACAAAGCAAGGGACAGGGGCCAGTTTCCAGGAACCCAGAGGAGACTCAGGTAATCTTCTCCATCATGCCTTTGCCCCCATTTGCAACCTCTTGGTCGTCCAGACCAAACAGAAAGGAATTTTTCTTCCTGGCCAGGGTTGAGTGTTGTGGATATGGAGATCTTTCACAGCTTCAGAGTGAGCAAATGGTTTTGGTATTTCCTCCTAGAATATTATATGAAAGACCCAAAAAATGCTAAAAAGGAAAATCTATCTGGCTGTGGTACAGGCAGTTCCTAGCTCTTCCCTGGATGCTTAGCCAGGCTCAGATGGAGCACACTAAGGGTCTGCTCTCCTCTGCCAGCCTGCGGTCCCAGGGGGGTAGTAATTCACCTCCCTCTCTTGGACCTGGCCCCACATCCCCAGCCTGGAGGACCAACTGCAGGGTGGTCCGTGTGTCCTTCAGCCCCGGCGTCTGCTTTGCTGCTCCCCCACCCCCTCCCTCCATTCTGCATGTCTGCGGCTGGATTCCCCATGCGGCTGCTTGGCTAGGCTGCAAACCTTTAATTGATTCCTCTCAGCTGGATTGAACTGCCAGCAGCCCTGGGGTTTTGACAGCACATCCGCAGGCCCCTTACCGACACAGACCATGGGGCGGCCTGAAGGGAGACGGGCACAGGCCAGGGACACAGAAGGTGGGCTTTGACACCCCAAAACCCTTCCACCCTGTGGCCAGGCAGGCTCGGCTCAGCCCCTGGAGACTTGATGCCATCCTTCGGCAGTCTTGGCTCCCTGTCCAGCTGCCGTGTCCCTCCTTCTTGCTGGTCTTGGCCCCTTTCCCTCACTGCATCGCAATGAGTCATCTTTGCTGAGCTCACCCGCTGGAGCCGCAGGGGGGCTGGCAGGCCTGGTGCCCGCCGGCGCCGAGGGAGGGTCCCTCGCCTGGCAGCTGCAGCCCTCTGGCCATCATGTGCGGGCACCGGGGAGCACCCTGCTTTCTCCTGCCCATCCCTTGTCTGGGCACCCAGCTCGGGCATGGGGCAGAGGGGGGGGAAGGCAGTGCATGCAGGCCTGGCTGCAGGCAGCTTCAGGGCTGTGCCACGCACATTTAATGTCTGGGGTGGGGGATCCAGACAGGGAAAAGAGAGCACGGCTGGCATTGCCTGGGGATACGGAAAGGTGATGCTGGCCAGACACACAGCGCACGATTCCCCAGCTCGTTGCAGGGCCAGCCGGTCCCTGTGCAGTGAATCAGACGTCATGCCGAGGAGCAGGCTATAGAGCGTCATTTCTGCAAGAAGAGGCAGCCTGCCCACCTGTGCCATGGGTGCCCATGTCTGTGCCGTGGAGTGCCCACATCTGTGTGCTGGAGCAACAGCCTGGCTAACTGCTTCTTTCTCTCCCTGCCCAGGCTCCCCTCTCAGCGACAGCTACCGCCAGGCACCTCAGCAGAGAGATGAATCCCACCGTTGGCATCGCTGTCATCCTGACAGGTACAGCCAGCAGACGTGCATCCCATCCCTGCTCTTTAGCGAGCTTGGCCCAGAGCAGCCAGGCAAGGGCCAGGAGACTGCATGGGCACTCCCAGTGCTCACTGTTCCCTGTCCAACCTCTGCTTGCCTCTCCCAGTCCTCCAGGCTGCCCACTGCCAGATGATCAAGGACCTGAGTGCCTGCCTGCTGGGCCAGAGCCTCCGGGTGGACTGCCGCTATGAGAACAAAACCAGCAACCCCCTGACCTACGAGTTCAGCATCACCAAGGACAACAGGAAGCACGTCATCCACAGCACCATCAGCGTCTCTGAGAATATCTACCGGAGCCGAGCCAACGTCACCATGCACAAGAACCTGGTATGCCTCTACCTGCAGAGCTTCACCACCAGCGATGAGGGTGTCTACATGTGCGAGCTGAAGGCCACCAACGACTACACTGGCAACCAGATAAAGAACATCACTGTCATCAAAGGTGAGACAGGAAGCAGTTCCTGGCCTCAGGCCCTCCTTCTCACCTGCTCCTTGGCTTGGTAGGGCCAGCAGAGAAAACCACGACACCCCATGGCATCCCTAAACCCTCTCTGAGCCCCGTAAATACTTCCCAACCCTTACACGCCCTTCCTGCTGCAAGCAGAGCAGGCAGCCCCACAGATGGCCTCACTCCCCATCCCAGACTGCTTACCCCTGCCTCTCTTGGGCCCTGCCTTGGGTGCACGGCCCAGGTGTCCTTCCATAGTAATGCTCCATAGTCAGTCACAGCAGAGGGGACGAGTCTGCTGGTGAAGGACTGAAGAGGTATATGGTGCCGAGTGGGAGCACACTGGGGATTTTCCACACTTACACCCCGCAGGAGCAGTCCTCCAGTTGCAGAGCCCTTCATCTTACCGGGTGCCCGTCCCCTTGTCACCTCAGTCAGGCACAGGCAGGGTTATGTTTCCCAGGGTCTCTGTGCCCCTAAAAGCTTTGCTGCTACGTGGGCACAAGGTGGGAGGGGAAGCAGGCAAGGCACCAGGATGGGACTTGTTGCATTTCTGTGGCAGAGAAAAGGCAAGAAGCTGAGTCCCTCTACCCCTTATAAACACTCAGCTTGATCCTTGTTCCCAAGGGATTTCATTGTGGCTCTTCTCTCCCTCCCTGTTCCTTCTCCTCACAGACAAACTGGAGAAATGCGCCGGCTTCAGCCTCTTGATCCAGAACACTTCGTGGCTCCTGCTGCTTCTCCTTTCCCTGCCTCCCCTGCAAGCCGTGGACTTCGTGTCCCTGTGAAAGGAAAAGCACACCCACTCGCACGCACACACACATGCACGCACGCACACACCGAGTCCCCCAGCCACCCCGCCTCCCCCGCCAGAACGCAGCCCTTGGAAAGAGAAGCTGAACCGTTTGGAACAAGTGAAACCTCTCTCTGTGTTATCTCTATATAGCCGTAGATCTAACGCTACCCACCGTCCTGTGCCGAGACCCGCCGTCACACGCACACACGCCCTGCGCCGAAGCATGGTGGCTCAGCTAGGCAGCGTTGCTTCTCCCATCGCACCTCCCCGCTCACTAGGCTGTCTGGTTTGCTCATGCCAGGAGCACTGCAGCCCCAGCCCTGCACAGCCCGCTTCTCCCATCCCTTTAACCTGTGGGGTTTGCCTGTTCTCAACTGGGGAAAGACAGCTGGATTGGCAGGTAAGAGAGAGAGATGATGTGAGAGCGTGCGGAGGGGTCCCTCTGCTGGGTGCTGTGCCAGGTGCTTTACTGATTTCTCAGCCTGCTCCTCTCGCCCTGAGTCACCCCAAAGCAGGGAAGAGACAGAGAGAGCAGGGAAGGCATGGGATGATGCTGAGCCTGGCCAGGCTGGGGGGAGAGAGGGGAGCACCTCTAGGGGACTCCCGTTAAATGCCCCTGCCTCCTTAGGGCTCTTCTGGGGCACTGCAAACGTGCTTTGGCAACAAGTTTTTCCTAATCTGTTTTTTACAGCTGAGCTGGAAGTGAGGCCTCCAGACATCATCTGGTACCTTTGGGCTTGCCTGAGCCTGACACACCACTCGCTCTCCCTGGGGACCAGCCCTTAGCTGTGACGAGAGAATTGCTGCCAGCACCCGCTCACAGTGGAGGCAAGCAGAGCCTCTCTGAGCTAGCCACAGCCCTGCCTTCACCCCTGCTCCCCTCCCCAAGGCCCCCGGAGCTGGATCCAGGCAGGCTGGTGGGGAGGGGGCTCCCCTATGGAGCGTGACCCCAAGGTCTCCACAGGACTCCTCTGCACCATCACCCTGTCTTCACCAAGGGAACATCTGGGGGCCCCAGTCCTTCCTCATGGCACACATCCCGGTGCCTGGCCCTGGTTAGGCTCGGCAGCCTTCCTCCAGCACAGTCTTCCTCCAGTCCCACCATGCTGCTGGGAGGAGGCATGTGCCCCATCCCGTCTCCCTCCTCCCTTTCAGCATTTCCCTGTCTCCATTTAAGAGCAGAAAGGGCAGCCCAGCTCTTGGCCACTGCCTCAGTAAGGCCAGGACCTTCCCAGGGGTTGGTGAGGGTGGGGAGAGGGACGGCGAGCACGGCCCACATCCACTAGCCCAGGCTTGCCCCCATGCCCCGTGGGACCCCAGGGAGCCGGTGGGCTGCTGCCCCAGCCCCACCAAAACCCTGTGGCTCTGGGCAAGGAGCAGCAGTGGGGACGGAGACCCAGGGGAGGGCACAGGGCAGGGGAAGATGCAGGCAGGAGCGTCCGGGGCCATGGGGTGCAGCCCAGCCCCGCTGAGCTACCTGTGCAG